ACGATAAGAAAAAAAGATGGCAGGGACCTAACAGAAGCTGAAGAGATCAAGAGAAGGTGGCGAGACTATACAGAAGATCTGTATAGGAAGGATAATAATATCGAGGATAGTTTTGACGGTGTGGTGAATGAATTAGAAACAGACATCCTGAGGAGTGAGGTTGAATGGGCCTTAAGAAGCATTGCTAACAACAAGGCAGCAGGAGACGACGGGATCCCAGCTGAACTGTTTAAAATCTTAAAAGATGATGCTGTCAAGGTGATGCATGCCATTTGCAGCAAATATGGAAAACACAAGAATGGCCATCAGACTGGAAAAAATCAACTTATATCCCCATACCAAAAAAGGGAAATGCGAAAGACTGCTCAAACTTCCGTACAGTGGCCCTTATTTCTCATGCCAGTAAGCTAATGCTCAAGATCCTGCAAGGAAGACTCCAGCAATACATGGAGCGAGAGTTGCCAGATGTTCAAGCTGGGTTTAGAAAAGACAGAGGAACGAGAGACCAAATTGCCAATATCCGCTGGATAATGGAGAAAGGCAGGGAGTTTCAGAAAAACATCTACTTCTGCTTCATTGACTATTCTAAAGCCTTTGACTGGGTGGATCATAATAAATTGTGGCAAGTTCTTAGTGGGATGGGCATCCCAAGCCACCTTGTCTCTCTCCTGAGGAATCTGTACAAGGACCAAGTAGCAACAGTAGAACTGACCACGGAACAACAGACTGGTTCAAGATTGGGAAAGGCGTACGGCAAGGCTGCATCCTCTCACCCAACCTTTTTAACTTGTATGCAGAACACATCATGCGATGTGCGGGGCTGGATGAATGCAAAGCTGGGGTGAAAATTGCTGGAAGAAACATTAACCACCTCAGATATGCAGATGACACCACTCTGATGGCCGAAAGCGAGGAGGAGCTGAGGAGCCTTCTAATCAAGGTGAAAGAAGAAAGCGCAAAAGCCGGGTTGCAGCTAAATCAAAAAACCAAGATTATGGCAACAAGAATGATTGACAACTGGAAAATAGAGGGAGAAACCGTGGAGGCCGTGACAGACTTTGTATTTCTAGGTGCAAAGATTACTGCAGATGCAGACTGTGACCAGGAAATCAGAAGACGCTTACTTCTTGGGAGGAGAGCAATGTCCAATCTCGATAAAATAGTAAAGAGTAGAGACATCAGACTGGCAACAAAGATCCGCCTAGTCAAAGCCATGGTATTCCCTGTAGTAACCTACGGATGTGAGAGCTGGACCTTAGGGAAGGCTGAGCGAAGGAAGATAGATGCTTTTGAACTGTGGTGTTGGAGGAAAGTTCTGAGAGTGCCTTGGACTGCGAGAAGATCCAACCAGTCCATCCTCCAGGAAATAAAGCCCGACTGCTCACTGGAGGGAAGGATACTAGAGACAAAGTTGAAGTACTTTGGTCACATCATGAGGAGACAGGAAAGCCTAGAGAAGACAATTATGCTGGGGAAAGTGGAAGGCAAAAGGAAGAGGGGCCGACCAAGGGCAAGATGGATGGATGGCATCCTTGAAGTGACTGGACTGACCTTGAGGGAGCTGGGGGTGGTGACGGCCGACAGGGAGCTCTGGCGTGGGCTGGTCCATGAGGTCACGAAGAGTCGGAGACGACTGAACGAATGAACAACAACAAATCCTTAGTCACTTTGTATCTGCTTCACCCTTCCTTATTTGTTAATTTGTTTTGCCAGAACTTCACTTCTACATTGTAGAACGTGTTAACTTCTACTCTGCAGAGGAGAAGATCAGCCAACAGTGGCTTCTGCCATCAAGCATGGAGGCTGCAAAGTTATTTCTCCTGCTTCTCATGATGTCCACTGTTACAGAGTAGCTTTATCCATCAATCCATGAGTGGAGTAGTGACAGGGGACTTTTTTTTTTACTCCTTGCTGAAATAAAGAACTAATGTCCATTTCTAACTAAGAATGAATGTCTGAATTCGCTTTTCTTCCCCTCCCTTCATGTCCTTCTATGGGGAGTGTCACATGCCTTTTAGATAGTAAGCAATGCATGGCATAATGGACTGTCGTATTATTGATTTATTGTGAACTGTCCTGCGAACCTTTCAGCCAAAGAGTAATATGAATGCTTTTAAAAGGAATTACTGTTGAATTCATAATACATTTTGAAGTGGCATCTAGCCCAGGATGTGCCTACAATTGTTGGGATGCTGGTATATATGGCACCAACTAAATTATATGTATTACCCTCACAGATCAGTGGCTTTCGTGCCTCTCTTTACATTGGGCTTAACACCATTTATGCCTCTTAAGCATATTTTTAAAATGGACATGGGGAGACTTTTTAGTGAGATTCTGTCCATTTGCTTTGCCTATTAGGAACATATATCAAATGTATAAACTGGAAGACTTAGTAACTTCTGATACTGGTGTGTTGTGCTCATGACAGGGATTGTTATTTAAATGGAGAGAAAAATATAGGGGTCTAAACCATGTACTATTAACACACAAAAAAAGAAATATGCTGTATCCTAAAGTATGACTAAAAATAGAAAAAGTTACTGGATTACAATTTGCAAACCTCACATCCAGCATAGCTAGTGGAAGATTCTGGGAGTCCTCTCAAAACACATATACATCTCTCTCTCTCTCACACACACACACACACACACAATCTTTTCTAAACCCTTCCTATGATTACATCCTTCAAATATTTTTGAAATCCTAGCAGGAGTCTTTCTTCCCTAAGAAGCAGTGCTCCAATCTGAATCAGAAATCACTTCTGAGTTTTTAAAGAATTGGTGGCTGGAACAGAAAGCAGAAGAGTAAATGAATGAGTTTGTTGTTAAAGGATTCTACTGCAAGCATGCCATTAGTCAAATAGACTTTTTTTTCACTGTTTAAAAATATTTAACTGTTGCACCAGATTTATGCAATGAAACTCAAGATCTCAAACTGAATTCCTAAACAAGCTCAGATGCCCAGTTTAATGCCTACGTACTATGGACAGGTAGAATATTTTAGAAAAGGGGTGTACAATGTTGGTGAGTCCAGCTGCAAATTATGCTTTAAATTTATGGTCTCAAAACCTTCCAATTGAGTGCATGGGAAATCAGAGATAGGAAAAATAAAATCAGGTATAGCTGGAATTCACTTCTGATTTGGAAAAAAATTGATTTTATTTTTGATATCAAATGCTAGATTATACAGCTGTGACCAATTTAAAAACAAATCACTGCAGGAGTCTGGGGCCACAAAATAGTATTGGGAGATCACATGCAGATCCCAAACCACACTCATTCACACTCATTCCCCTCTCTGTTTAAAGCCTTCATTTATTCATCAGGCATATTTCAAATTTAAGAATGTATCAAACATAATTCGGTAGGCTAGAACTTTAAACTTTAAAAATTCCAAAGACCAAAACTACTTACTTGTCTCAGGTACAGAAAAAAGCTAGAATACTGGCCAGCTTCAGGTAGATACGAAAGAAAGACAGTTATGCAAGTCAGCAAGATTGTAGAATCCTTCCCAACTTTTCTCAAAGACTGTCAAAAGAATAAGGAAAAGTCAACAAAGTGAAAAGGAATTGCAATAAGCTCAAGTATATAAACCAACAGGATAGCCTTCACTCCCTATCCACAAATTCCCCCAGTCGCGGCCTGAAAATATCTCTCTCACTACCCAAAAATCTAAAACACAAACCTTGATTTTGCTATTTTATATAATATTTCTATACCTTTGTATATAATGAGATTTATGGAGTCTACAGATTTTGGTAGCGACAGGAGATCCTGGAAGCAAACGTCAGCAGATACCAAGGGCCAATAGTATGCTATCTTTAGCAATTCAATAATTGTTTTTTGGAGCAAGATAAGGTTCAAGGAGTTACTATACACAACTTGCATGTATATACAAACTGCTAAAAATGCATCTATTGAATTACTGTTTTTAATGGACAGCAAAAACTTTTATTAGGAGAATGCAACTCACTGCGAAAGGATCTGCTTGTTCCCATGATATAAGGGCTCCCCATGAAGGTGGTCTCATTTTTTCAGGTAGAGATTCTGGTACAGCGAGCAGAATGAAGCAGATATCTACAACAGCTACAACAGTTGCAATTAATACCACCAAATTATCTCCATAGAGGGTAGAGAGGTGTGCTCCAATGGCAGGGCTAGTTACCAAACTTGCTGCAAATGTGGCAGAGACCTAAATATAAAGATATCGGGATTTTAACACTTTGTTAGAAAAAAATGTCATTTGTATGGAAGGAACATTTCAAGCTTTAAACTAGGCATAGGTTGCATGAAGCCATTTCCCAGTGCTCCACCAATTTTATTTATTTTATTGAATATGTCCCTCCAATCCAACTTCTTCTACTCACGCATTCCAAAAATGTGTGAGTAGAAGAAGTTCCCAGACTTCAGCTTCAGAGAGTTTCCCACCCATATTTTAAAGAACAGTACTTATGTGCAGATTTTACTATTTAGATGCTTTTGGGCCACTGTACACAGGAAACTGTTAAATACATAGAAAACAAATGTAGTTGTCCAAACACATTTGTGAATAACTTGTCTGAAAAGTACAGCTTCATAAAAAACAGGAACAGTGCACTACCGATGTTACAAAATAACAGAATTTCAAAGGTATGGTATACTATCAAGATGACATTGATTCCCATTTAAAGATAAGTGCTTGTGAATTAAGACCGCATCTTTCCACTGCCACCTAATTTTGCTTAGATTTTTAGCTTGAAACTTTTATTATATGTAACAGTATACGCTCTTTTATATCCTTGTTAAGGTCACCAAGGTGTTTTTTTCTGACATGAGAAGATATAATAAGATTATGCTGCCGATGATATTCATGAGGCCCTCCAAATTTAGTTGGCCTGAAAACCCCTTAAATCCTAGTTTATAGCCAAAGGGGGAAAAAATGCTGGGAGTTATAGTACAGTTATATCTGGAAGGTCACATGAGTCCCACTCCTGCTTTAGGAGCATGGTTTAGGAACAAGTTATCTTCCCTTTTAAGACTAGAAAACAGCAAGCTTTCCCATGAGATATCTGAAGTCCCATTGTGCAAAATCATGTAGGATAACCTTTTCTGACTGTGACTTTCAAAATGTATTTCTATGACACCTCCAACAGTTATACTTTTGTCAGCAGCTGCACTAAAAGCTCTTGAGGGCAATAGTGAAGTCTTTCCAGGAAAGAAATCATGGCTACACAGTTTAACAGGAACATAGCCATGTCCACACATCTTTATCTGCCTTTACTTTAATGACTACCTACAATTTAAAACAGACAAAAAAATTGTAGCTCGAAGACCTATTTTTTCCCCAGTATCAATTCTCTGAGATTCAGAGATTGTATGGTTGTATTATTTTTCATTTTATGATTGGAAACTGTAGAACATGATGATGACACTTATTAGTGATTTATGACATAAACATTGATATGATTTGAAAATGCTGAAATAAGAAATATTTGTGCAACACTTTAATCACTCGATATTTATATTTATGTATTTATATTTCCAGAAAAAAAGAGTATTTGTTGAAACTCTACTAATGAACTGCTAATGTGTTTATATAGTTAGGAAAAAATATTCAGACACGCAAGTACAGCAACACTACTGTGAACAACATATATTTAAGCACAATTAAAACAGCAGCTTCTATTCCCCCTCCTGCTTCAATTAATTGCCCAGGAGCTTTTTCAACTTCCAAATGGAACACATAGATTAAATAAAACCCCTCTCCCCCGGTAACTATCTAGTGCCAGTCCCAATTTATGCCTCTTTCTACCTCTCTTACACAAGAGCAATCAAAGAAGTAACATATATTTTCTCTAAGTATGCGTGGGAAGAACATTATGAATTCCTATAGCAGGAAACAGATCAACTCAAATGACATTCATAAAATCTACTGAAACGCTACGCTTCTGCTAGGGTACAGCACATAACAGACCTAACACAAATTGTTTCCTGAAGACCAAATTAAATAAACTAAGATACTGACAGGCACATCCAGCAAATGATATGGAAACAAAAAGGAAGTTTTGCCTTGTGTGTGTTATACCCAACTAGAATACACTTGAATGGGGAACAACTAACAACAGGACTTGGTCCAATAACTGCTAAACTGCTGGTGGTCCCTTGGAAAATTTTGAACTCCTATGAATAAAGCCTTACTCTTTCTCCCCCAAACCATATTTTTCTATCTTGTGAAATTTCATGTTCTGAACATAAGCCATCAAATCGACTGTCCTGTCCCACCTAGTTCTGGCCATAATGGTGGGGTGTGACACATCTAACACAAGACTTAATAAAGGTCGCCCCATATATTCTCTCTTCTGTGCAGTGCTTTGTCTAATTTCAAGTACTTTAATAATAGCAAAAAGTCTGCTCTCAAATTTGCCTTTTCAGATTCTACTCCCTTCCAAGATGTGTCACTTTCCATTCTTCAGTATTTCAGAAATTATTTCTAATTCCACGAAGCCTCATAATGCTTAAGTTGGAGTATTGCAATGTTCATCTCTATGAATGTGCAGCTATTTTAAGTCTTCATTCTCCTGTTCATAACGCTACCTCCTGTCTCATGTACTCAGCACATAGTTTCAATTACATCTCTTGCTTTTTCATTTTTTATATGGGGCTCGTCTTTCATTTCACATTTCCTTTGAACTTCTTACCTTTAACTGTCTGTACTTATATTCAAGTTCTATTTTTTCATTGGTTCTCTTTCTGTTTCCAACTCAATTTCACTTTTCTAAGCCCATCACTTTCACTTCCCTGTGCCATGCCATGGTGAATCAATTTCCTACAATGGGGTATTTGGACACTGTTAAGTTTGAAGGTCTGCTGATAATATGGATCACATTATCTTGGACCAGAAGCCCAAATTAGGAAATTGTAGGATCATATGCAAAATTAGGGGGCAGTTGTTCCAAGAGCAGAAACAATCTGGGAATCAAATTAATATTTCATAAAATGCAACTTATTTTGTGCAGCAATTTGGGATTAGGACATCAAATAGTCTAATAGTTGAAAAAACATACAAGGTTTTCTTAAGAGGATGGAAATGTGGGTTTCTGTAATTTCCTACCTGCCTGTGCATAGAACTATGGGCACAGAAACATGTGGCACTGCCAGAGCATTGCACATTATTTTAGCAGAACTTAGCCACAGGGGCTGCATGAAACAAGCACTGTTTACTCTGACCTAAATCCAGCTGTTACTCTTAACTACAGCAGAGACATTTCAATCGATACCTATCGAACTTCCATTAGTATAAAGCAACACCCGTGTATGTCCATTGATTCAACAGGTCCAGTGCAGTTAGAAAATAATGATTAATTTGAGCCTCTCTCTTGTTCCTCAGTAGTACTTTAAGATCAATGAAAGTATGGAAAAGAAATGTAATTTACATTTAATGGCTCACCATTATCTTCTAAATACAGAGGCTCTAGACCAGTGGTTCTCAAGCTGTGGATTCCCAGACGTTTTGGCCTTCAACTCTCAGAAATCCTAACAGCTGGTAAACTGGATGAGATTTCTGGGAGTTGAAGGCCAAAATACCTGGGGACCCACAGGTTGCGAACCACTGCTCTAGGCAAATAGGAATTGGGAGATAGCTCATTGGGCAGAAGCTTTGGCTAGGTAACCAGAGCATGGATAGAGAACCATTCTGAGAGCATTCAAACAGGTATCTTAATATTTCAACAATATGACCTGCTCTATAGAAGTTGCCCTTCTCTTTTACAAACTCAGCGTCTTGCAGCACCTTTGAAACGGGAAGTTAACCTCAGTCTCAAAGATGCAGTAAGATCTCTAAGTATACTGACCAGCATTAACACAGTTATATCTTTGAATTTTACCTCAATGATTAAACACTTCATCAGTGTTAAGTAAGGTGTTTTCCAGATATTTAAATACTCTATAATGTTTACATACTAGTGAAACCGGAAGAGAAATGATTTTACAGACCCTGGACACATCAGAAGCACTTATTGACAATTAGATATATTTCATATAGTGACACAATAACTGCTGAGTGGACCCACTCTTAAAGAAAAAACAGGGCTAGACAAGCAGAAAACCCACATCTTTTCAACACTAAGTGACTGCTTTGCATAAGGCTTCTTGATGCTTCTCTTTAATGTCTGCTAGAAAGGGGAAGAATAACTGGGAGAATATCACAAAGAAAGAAGAACATCTCATAGACTTGAGAACTTTTAAAAGAGTTATATCTAGTAGTAACTGCTTATGCTTTCATGGGAGAAAGCATGCCAGTGTTCACTACTGGATAAATAAACTTAAATCTAGGATTATACTTGTAGATACTCCTACATACTCTCATTCATTTCAAAAATATTACACTAGATCAGTCATGGGAAAATTTCTTTGCCTGGGGTCGCATTGCTAGGAGGGACAGCCAGGCCAGGAGGAAGGGCGACGTGGGCTCAGGAGGAGGCCGGGCTGGGGGTGGGGCAGGCCATGGAAAAGGCAGGGCTGGGGGTGGAGTCCATCTGGGAGGGACGGGGCCAGGGCAGAGAAGATGGAGGAGGTGCAGAGAAGGGGTGAGGCCAGGGGCGGCTCACCATCATGCTTTCCTCTGAGCATAAGGATGAGACTGCTTGCCCCTTTCTTATGCTGGAAGGTGAGGCTTCACCACCTACCTGTCTCTTCTGCTGGAATCAGGGTGGGGTTTCGCACCTCATCCTGACACCAGGAGAAGAGAAAGGTAACTGAGGTGGCTTTGCAGCTGCTTTGCTTACCATCTGCCTCTTTGCCTGGGCCAGGCTTCTCCTGGCATCAGGATGTGGCTTGACCTCCTCCTGACACCAGGAGAAGGAAGAGGCAAGCTGCAAGCAAGGTGGCTTTGGAGCCGCTTCCCTGGCTCCTTGCCTCTTTGTCCAGGTCGAGCTTTTCCTGGCATCAAAACACGGCCTCGCCTCATCCTGATGCCAGGAGAAGGAAGATGCAAGCAGCAGGCGAGGCGGCTTTGGAGACACTTTGCTTATCACTTGCCTCTTCTCCTGGTCTGAGATTCTTCCAGCATTGGGACAGGACCGTTCGCCCTTTCCTTATACCAGGAGGAGGGCCCAAGGAAGGCACACGGCAACTGAGAGCACTCTAAATGGCTCCCAGCCTCCGCGTGCCTTCCTCCCTCATCCTTTTGGCATAAGGACACAGAGACCTGCCATGTCCCTATGCCCAGAGGTCGGGGGAAATTATGAGGGTCGGACATAAGGGCCCAGAGGGCCGTCTCTGACCCACAGGCCTTAATTTGCCCATGCCTGCACTAAATGAATTATTTGTCAAAAACATTTAATCTTTTTTAGCTGCTATGGCGGGGTAGGGTGGGGTGGGGTAGAAGATTTTCTAAATGAAGCAAAAAAAGACTTCTGTATAGCTGAAACAACTTGTTGTGTGGTTGTTGGCTCCCAATGCACACAAATAGGCAGGCGGGAGCACTAGAAGATTTTCTAAATGGGGCAAAAAAGGCTTCTGGCTGGCTGAAACGACTGGTTGTGTGTAGTTGTTGGTTCCCAATGCACACAAATGGGTCAGCACTCAGCATCCCAGCAGCCCTCAAAGATAGTTGAAAATGCAACACAGCAAAAACACAAAACATACGTAAGGCAAAAGTTGCCCATAAGCAAGCAGTAAGCAAGCTCTTGCCAGTGCCTGCCTAGCCTACAGCATGCAAAACTTCTCTCCTTCTCTTTCTTCGGTGCGGACTCGATTCTCAGGTAAAGCTAAGCTAATCGAGTGTCCTTCTCTCCAGCATGGTGCCTGCCTGCCTGCAAAGCTCCACTGAACCCAGGACGGAACTCTTTTCTCTTTCTCTGACCGATTGCAAATGGAGGCTGTGGCGCTCCACCTCCACCTCCTCTCCCTCACCCACCCTGATGAGTTGAGAGGTACGGTAACACATACCTAGTGTTGTGCTTGGTTACTCTGTGAATTAAAACTGCATTATAGAGAGTTATGACCTTTATGAAATTTACGCAAAAATACCACGTGAAAGTTTCAATTTTAAATTTTTTAACCCATGCATTGGAACATTGCATCATATGTATGAATCTAATGAATTATATCTGACTTACAACGGACAATCAAAAATTTGCACAACCTACTAGCTGATAATAATACTGTCAACATCAAGAATCACAGTATTTCAAACATTCAATTTACCTTCTATAATTTCACAATGAACCATCTCTACTGTATAGATGTCTAAAATGCTAGTTTTATTCATCTGATGAATGAGACTACAATCCAGGAAAATTACTATTGTAATAATAAATATCTTTCTTTGTTACTTTTCACATGACATAGTAACTCATAGAGTACTCTTCTTCCAAATGAGGTAGTGAGCATAAACTGCAAGGGAAACTCACTATGGGACACTGCTATTATGGCAAACTGTGGAAACCCATCTATTCCTCAACATTTTGTTCAAAAAGAAAGGCATACACATTCCAACAACATAAAACCTCTTGGTGCATGTGAATCCCAAGTTACAAATTTAACCTATATAATAGCCTATTTTGACAATACATTAATCAACACTTCACTCTTGCTCTCCTTCACAGAGTACAAAGGAAGTTATCAGGACAATCCCCATTCTGCTACTATGCCAATCTCTGCGTACAATTCTAGTTTTTCCCTCTCGAAAGGCAAATAATGTTGTTAACTCGGAAGAGATAGATGAGCACGCATGCCTTACAGGGGAACTGATCGGAGTCCAGCACCTTCCCAAACCAGGTAAGTAACAAATTACACACATATCATTGTTGGCAATTATATAAATCACTCATCTTTTCCAATCTATCAATTTAAAGTAAGTCAACAAAGTAGTTACAGCTTAAACATTGTTGTCTGCTATTATAAGTACTGTTAAGTTGGCTTCAACATATGACCACCCAATGAATGAGAGGCCCCCAAGCCCTGCTATCAACTACTGTGGTCTGGGCAAATCCGTGGCTTCCTTGATGGAATCTATCCATCTGCAAAGTGGTCTACCTTTTTTTTCTGCTACCTTCTACCTTACTATACCTTACCTTCTACCTTATAGTTTTTTTCTAGTTAATTGTGTCTTCTCATAATATGGCCAAAGTATGAGTTAGCATGGTGTCTAGGAAGAGTTCAGACTCCATTTGCTCCAGATTCTTTCCCTGCTTTACTGAAAGACTCCATGTCACAAGCAATCTGGTAAGTAAACTTATCCAGCTCCATATCCTGCAACAGGATACTACACACGTGATACAGATGACTGCCAAACACAGGTTCTGGTTTCTTGACTATGAGTCTAGGAATGAAAAACTCTAACATTCTGTTCTTCTTTAATCACATATGAGGCTGCTATAGTTGCAAGGGAAGCTATCCTTCTCTTCCTCAAAGACAGCTGGGTGAACTACACTGAAGCACTATCTGTCTAGGATAAACTAAAATGTATCTACTGCTACTTGTTTTTGTTAAAATGAATTTACCAATCAATACTACAATGCAAAGAACAGAATAGCAATCTGCAAAGTCATCGTTCTAGATTTTTACGATCTTTAAGAAGTTGTCTCACCAGTCCATATGCCGTACTTCTTTCATGTTCTTGTGTTATGTCTGCTACATAGGCAAATATTACAGAGAAGGTAACAGCAAAAATTCCAGATACCGAAATCATAGCAAAATACCACCTGTAGAGTTAAATGACATTTGTTATAATGTAACCATGCAAAAAGTCCTTTTACAACTATTAGAAACATTAACTTCATTATTCTACCATCACTAATTAAGCGTTCCATTTTGAACATCCCAATTAAAAGAACTGAGCCAATACCCTTCTCATTTCTTCAACATGCCAAAGACCCCTACCGTTATTTATGCCACTTACCATGGACTTATCTTCATTAATGGAATTGGGACACAAGTGAAGAAAACAGTAACCAGAAGAAATGATTTTCTTCCCCAGACATCTGAGAGAGCACCTATAAGCGGAGCACTCATGAAGGATAAAAAACCCTAAGGAAGAAACAGAAGTATTATAAATCTATTGGTTCCTCTTATGTCTGTAGTGTAACATTTAATCTGAAAAATATAGTAATTCTCAAATGTGTTGCATTATGGAAAGCACCTATTTATAAGGCACAATTTAAAGGAGCTAAAGAAAGCAAACTGGGAACATAGATAAATTGTTTGCTTACACAGGGCAAGCCAACTAGCCATACAACAATAAAGACTCAATTAGTTCCTTTGAAATCTGGCTATATGCTCGAAAAATGTGAAGGCTGTTTCTATGACAGTAGCAAGAGTGAAAGATGCTCTACAAGTAGATGAATTGTTTTCTACAGTGTGAGTGTCTGTCTCAGCAGAATGAAAAATGCAGTTCTTCTCAACCAAAAGTGGCACCTTTTAGAATCATATGAAACTCCCAGTAGCTACAGATTGCCACAAAGTCAAAAATCATTCTCTACAATGAACAAGGATAACAGCAAAGCAAAGTGGATACAATGGAACAACAAATAGAAACAATTTGAACTTGCAGTTTGGAAATAATTCATTCAAAATGCAAGAGGAAGCAACAGATGCAACCAAATACTTAATTTTCTCCTTCCAAAACCCAAGACTGGCAAAATTTCAGACTTCAAAGTAGTATTTCTCCCATCTTTCAAACATTTTTTCAGAATACTGAAAACCTGAAATACCTAATTTAAATACACACAGATAATATCAAAAACTAAAAATCATTCAAAATGGACAGTTTGAAACAATACATATATAAAAAAAATGATGATTAAAAGCCTTGGAAACAAAGTCTTCACCTGGCATAGAATGATATCAAAACCACACACTAACTAAGCCTCTTTAGGAATTGGGTTGATGATGCAGAAAAGATACTTCACTGACTCTCTAATACGGTCTTGCTGCATATTCTAACCTAATATGTGGCAAGAAAAAACAAATCACTGAATCTGGCATGTAAATTTCGATGTATTCCAGACTCATTCTATTATCAATGGGAATACAATCCTATCAAGAGTCAGTGAGCTCAGTACAACTAATAATCTGGTGTTGAGTTATATTAACACAATTCTTTAATATCACTATGTTACAAAGACTGAAGCATAAATCTTTCATCTGGAACCAAACATTTTAGCTGAAGAAATCAGTGACATGAATTTTCTGGAAAACTTCCAAAACAATGAAAACACTGAGATCTCGTTTAACATATTTGATTTGCATTTAGTAAATAATGAAAATGCCCCATTAGTTTTATGCACTGCATAAACACTATTTCCTTGGTCTGGTGCTTATTTTATTTACTTACTTTATTTATACCACAGCTTTCTCCTCATGGGGACACAATCAATTGCCAACCAGTTATGAGAATGAGCTGTGCTGCTTCAAGATAGAGGTGGGCAAACTTCAGGTTGTGGGTCACATAAACTTCCCATGGTTTAAAGGGGCAACATTTTTCCCAAAATAATTTTTAGGGGAGCTGAGGTGCTTTTTTGCCTTATTCCCCTCCTGCCACTATGGGAAGTTTTTTTGTAACTTGAAACTGACTTTTGGGCACTTCCTGTTTTTGTTTTTTTTTTTTAATATGCCTTTCCTTCATCTAAAATGGTCCAAAGGGCCCAAAAGACATAGCAGAAATCCCCCCCACACACACACACATTCCACCACAAAGATGCTGGGCGGCTTTTGGGAACAAATGAGGAAGTGCTTTCTCTCCCCTTAGCCCTCAGTTGCTAACTCCTATTTTAATGTCTCCACTGATCATTCTTGTAATGTGTAACTACAGTATGTTGAACACTGAGATATTGGAATGGAAGCTTTAAAATCAAATATAAGTACTGTCTGTTTTCTAACAGGAAAAGGCAAATGGAAAATAAAACACAATAGTTATTTCCTTGAGCACTGATGTACTGAAATAAAATGAGTGTGTTTCTGCTCTTTAAGCATAAAATCTATTCTTGACTATTTATTATAGCAATTTTCAAGGGAGACACAGAGTTTACTGTATATAACAGAAAGTCTAAAAATATTAAGATTTTTAAAAAAGATTCCTTAAAATTGAATTGATTTACTCACAAGTCAATGTATGTATCTCACCCTCAGTCATATATATTCTGTTCTAGGAGGATCTAAAAGAAGCACCAATCCCCTCTATCCTCTTTGCCAGGGCACTACTTCCGGGCTTTTATGAATGCCTGGGCAGCGAAATTATGGCAGGGGTGGTCTTTAGTACCTCAAATGAACACTGAGAGGATAGAGGGGTTTGGTACTTGTTTTTAGTCCTTTTTATTTCACCACACAATTCCAAAGAAACAAGTTCCTTTAGTTGAAAAGAGCTAATAGTGTACCTATTACTATTAATATTGTATCTCCTTCTCAGATTAGAATTTGTGAATAGCCTTTTTGAATGTCTGGGAAAAAATGGTGGTGGTGGCCAAGGCTGCACTGGCACCTTCCCCTCTCTGTGGATCTACTCTCAACTTATTCATAGGTCATGTCAAAATCCAAAATTCTGCACTCCAAAAATGCACTGAAGGTACATATGTGGTTGACTTTCACATGAATACATATTGTATGGAATTCATATTCTACCTTGAAGACAAAGATAAGTGAAAGTTGATGCACCCTGTCAGGTATAAAGCTTAGTTGGAAATATTCAGATCTACTAGGAGTGAAAGACAAACTAATTGAATGCAGCATTTGAATAAATGTAAGTTACATGTCATATGTCAATAATTATGTGCAAGTTAAAACAGGATTGAACCCCCCCCCCTCCCCATACACACACAAGTAAGAACCTGACTTCCAATTCTCTTTAGTTCCCCTGCAGTCTACTTTTAACATTACTTCATCTTCAAGGAAACAGTGCTTGGAATCCCAATCTTTTTCCTGAATTGACTAGTTAAATATTTAAGGAAAGGCATAAGACTATTATTTGTTTGCACACTATAAACTGATGTAAATATGAAATAAAAATAGCATCATATTTAAAGTTAATAGCATACAATATCTTTATCACTATCAAGCCTGGCTTGTAACTAAAGTGTTTCAGTTGAAGTTTACTATCCCACAGCTTAAAGATGTAATACAGTTTCTGTTTAAAGATGTGGTACAAACTATTCCCCTCCAGTATAACATTAGTGAATGTCAACATGGGGAAAAAAAATCAACATTGAACAAACACATTTTTTCCTGGAGACAAAGCAGCCATTTATTTTATGTTTTTACATCCTAGAGCACAAGGAGCATGAGAGAAATTGTTAGACATCTAAAGCATAACGCCTGCCAAATCTGTTCTGTGTTGCTGCAGTACCAGATTACTGTAATTGTCTGGCAGGAAACCCATGCAACTCTTAGTTAAGTAGCATAATGCCAGTCTCAAGGTCGCTCTAACTACTAATACCCTAATGATTTTTGAACAGGTTGAAATTAAAATTCTCTACTTAGCATAAACGACCCACAAACACACTTTGAACTCTCAATACCGCACTCTGACATGCAATCAGAATATTTTGGAATTCTGAATGTGCTGCATCTTAATGTGCATCAATGATAGTTTTTTTCTACATCTTTAAATTTACTCAGGCAAAAGAATCAAGTCTCAGGCCCTCAACATCTGCAATTCCTGCCATGTGCATCTTGCAACAGTCCAGACCCATGCCTATTATATCTCAAAAAATTCCATGATACTGATGCAAATGTGATATACTCAGATTTCATAAGCGATGCAGTTATACTTTGGTTAGGTTATCTGGGCCCCAATTCATCAAGAATCCTACCTTAAGAAAAAAAAATGAGATGTAACATGAACCTCAGCAAAAAGTTATGTTTAAACATATACTTGCTGTTATACAAACAGAAGTTCAGGAAATGAAATGGATGGTCCCACTGGGAACCATCCATTTATCACCTTCCAAGCTGCTACAAAATGTTCTGCAACTTGCCAGAGATTATTATAGGGGCATGTGGACCTTCTATGTCCTACAAGCAGTAATCCACTCAAGGCAGGTAGATCCAATCTACCATCACCTTCTCTAGTCATTCCTTCACTTTTCTTACAAAATCCTGAACTTTTGATAAATCTCTTTCCAGTAATTCCACCCAGTTTCTTCTGAAGAGCAGAATTTTTGCACAAGATGTCAAACATACATTTTGGATCATACTAGACCATCATGCTTTTGACAACTTTAAAACAATGCCTACAATCTCAGACATTATACAAGTTGATCATCCCTTATCCAAAAATCCAAAACTGACACCTATGTTTTCTTATGATTTATTTATTTATTTATTTCGAGGTTTTATATACCGACCCTCTCACCTTCAAAGAGGGATTCGGACCGGTTCACAACATGTGTTAACATACAAAAAATATACAATAACAACACAATGCCACTTCATTACACGATTAAAATATCAGCACCATACACATTAAAACATTATCATCCCAGTTAAAAGAGCCAAATCGTCCGACACCATCACAATCCCATTCATCATCCTCCTTTCATGTGGGCAAAGAATTAAATCAGTTGTCAAATGCCGCGTTCCACAACCAGGTCTTTGTTAGTTTCCTGAACGTCATGAGGGAGGGGGCAGTTCTGATCTCTAATGGCAGGGAGTTCCAAAGTCGAGGGGCCACCATCGAGAAGGCCCTGTCCCTCGTCCCCACCAGCCGTGCTTGTGCAGGCGGAGGGACCGAGAGCAGGGCCCCTCTAGATGATCTTAGTGGTCTTGATGATTCAATGTATACAAATCTTTTTTATTAAAAAAGTGTATAAATTTTTTTAAAAAACTGTATAAAAAGACATTCATGCTATGTATAGATAGTGTATTGAGTTAGGTTTGTATTGAGCTAGGTCCCACTTCCAAGATATCCCATTACGTACATATATGCAAATACAGGCATATCAAATCCAAAACACTTCTGGTTCCACACATTTCAGATAAGAGAAAATCAACCTATATTACTCCTATAACAGACAGTAGTTGGGAAAGATGGAATGTAATCTCCTTTTAACCCCCCGAGGACAAAAGAAACATGAGGCAACAGCTTACAAATTTAATGAAGTTCCCCAATTTTCAACAAGCCAGGAATTAGAAACAGAAAACACACATACCCTCTCCAGTCAAAGACTAGTTTACCCATTGCTCTGATTAAACTTACAAGAACTATTTTTTAAAGCAAGTATTTCAACTTTTTGATAAAATGTTTTAACTTCATCCCTTAGAGTAGGCCTGCACAACCCACAGCGCTTCAGCTGTTTTGGCCTCCAACTCCCAGAAGCCAGCCTGTCCAATTGTCAAGAATTCTGGGAGTTGGAGGCCAAAACAGCTGAAGCGCTGTGGGTTGTGCAGGCCTGCTCTAAGGGAGGAAGTTACAACATTTTATCAAAAAGTTGAAATACTTGCAGTGACATTCATCGGGAATCTACAATTACAAGGAAAGAAAGACTTGAACAAGTTTTACACAGGCCACTGGACTCCTGACACTTAGAAGTTAGCAGACTTCTGGGTGAAACCAACCATTAGATGCCTGCCAGGGGGGGTCTGGAAATACACACAGAACAGTTGCCACGCAGCTGAGCCATGCCAACTACAATGATATCACACACTGATTTCTGTGGATTAATCCTAATATTTGGACTTTGGCTTTTATACTATTTTGCTGGATTGTTTTTCATATATATTCTTCAATAAACTGCTTTGCTATTTTATCTTGGTTTGGAGTGTGTGTTATGTACAGAGGCGATTCTCCGTCTTGGACTGCAACAATCACCTAAAATATATCCTGACATGCTTTTAAAATAATCAGAAAAATGAATCCTTAAGGCCCATGCCTACTTTGGTATTATTTCTGTCATGCAGGTAACATTGATGGCTACCTACAATAGACCTAAACCATCACTATGCAAGAGGTTCGGCAAATGGTGTACCCTTTTAAACATCATTACCTTCACTCCTTGGATGAGGCCATTCATTAGAAATGTATGCTGAGGAAAAGTTTCACGTAAAACCTAAACAAGAAAAAAATATTAAAATTAACTTTTGATTGAAGTGTGTATAAATTTAACCATTACAAGGACCAAGGCAGTGACATCTCTGGCACACCCACTGTTTGGGTATCAGCCAGCACGCCAACAACTTAAATCAAGAAATAGCTTCCTAAGATCTACAGAGACACTCGCTGGAACACCTTAGCAAGCGAGAGTCCAAAAGTGGCAGGCTAAAACCCAGAACCAAAATCTATGGCTGATACCAAATGAGAGACTCCCTCCTGGGCACACAGAAAACTGGGCAACTTGGAAGGCGCTGAACAGACTGCGCTCTGGCACCACGAGATGCAGAGTCAACATTAAGAAATGGGGTTACAAAGTGGAATCCACGACATGCAAGTGTGGGGAAGAGCAAACCACAGACCATCTATTACAATGCAACCTGAGCCCTGCCACATGCACAATGAAGGACCTCCTTGCAGCAACACCAGAGGCACTCCCAAGTGGCCAGCTATTGCTCAAAGGACATTTAAACAACTACCAAGTTTGCAAACTTTGTGTTTTGTCTGTCTGTTTGTTTTTTAATGCAATACAACTGTTTGGTTCGCTCCTGACACTATAAATACCGTTACAAAAACTAGCTGAATACTAGGGACCCAGTAGAAGTTTTCCACTGGAAGAAAAGGACTTGTAGAGATTTTTCTACAAGTCTCTGTTCCCAGTGCAGCTTCAAGTGTTATATCTCTAGCACTGTTCTGGATGGTCCACCAAATTGACAGAATGTTGAGGGAGGTTGTGCTGGGTCTTAAGGAAATGGGGAGATTTGGGGGGAAACTTCATCCTGTTCCCTTCATTTAGTGACATTGGAACTCCACTAAGTGCAAATCAGGAACCATCCAGGAGAAATGTATGTAACTATCCAAAAAGCATCTTAAGTAGATTTCAATTGTTTGAAAAATTGCCCAAAGTAGCATTAGTATTCTAACAATTCAGCAGATTCTACAAAAGACTATTTTTCCATTAAAAGGTCACAAATATGTTATTTATTTAAATACATTATCCACACCATTCCAGTCTCTAGAAAAAAAGCAAAACTGATGAGATGAAGATTGTTTTTATTCCCACCCACCCCCACCCCCCTGAGAGCCAGCTACTTTTTTTCTGTGCAAAATCAGATTCTTTGATCTATCTATCTAGCCAGCCAACTCTGACTTATCCAAGGTTTCTCCACAATTTAGGCAGAATTCTGTCTTTCTGCTACCTGAAGATCCTTTGCTTTTTCATCTGTATTAACCAGAACAAAGTATGTGAAGATTCCAAAATCAGATGAGATTGGGTATTTTCAGAGTGTTGTGGCAAAACACCTATTTATAATAAGTGTATCAACAGCACAGGACCTGGGGTGGAGGGAAGAACTCCATAATACTATTATCAGGTAACTCTCAAATGTACCACCTCCAAGAAGGATTCTAAAACAGAAAGAAACCTTCAGGTGCTCTTTCACCCTACAATTATAGTATTGAGATGCCATTCTAAATACCATAGCTGCATCCTACACAATCCAAAAGTTTTTAGTTGCTCTACATACATCTACAATTCTCTGGTTTCTTATTCCAATTCCTTCTATTGCTTGGAAGCTTCTTTTTAAAGTCAACTGAGTTTTGGGACGCCTAGGAGACACACAAAGCTGCAATACAAGAGAAGTTCTACATAATCCTTTCACCCAACACAATGATTCTACTTTAAATTTCATGTTTTCATGACATGAAAAAAATCTATGAAATAATGGGATTTTCAGTTTGGGGGTGGGGGAGTGTTTAGAATTTTTAGGCATAAGGCTCTTGTGCCTCACTATACTATGACATACTCACAACAATCAAAGGTAGTTTTACCATTTCCTTACTCTGAATTGCAGCCCCTGGGGTTGGTATATCAATCAAGTAAAACCAGGGCATACTCTGTTCAGCCTCTGATCTGAGACAGGATCTGGTGTCTTAACTCAAGGTAATCAAGTGTAACTCTAAACACAGTTATGAACACATCTTTGTTAATGAAAAACCCCAGGTAAGAAAACTCACTGTGAGCATGGGTGTTGTGAGCAGCCCCCAAGCAAAGAACTCAAGGAAGATGACAATCACCGCATGGTACACACTTGGTCGGCCAATACCTTGCTGTTAAGAAAGAAATCAATGTTAATACAGTGCAGTTCTTTGAAACAAGGTTCTAAAAACATTTTAAATGATAGAAAGCAGCATTGTCTTTTAATTTAATAATAGAGCCAGAAGGTTTTTTTTTTTTTGTCAAATCAACCAGAGTAAAGCATTCACATGAAGACAGAATACCACTACAGAGTATTTGACAATTAGTACAGCAACAGGACAAAATTCTCACTATAATTCTCTCTAAAAACGTGTAATTAAGTTGATTCTGCAAATTTGGAGCAGGTAAAAGCACGACCAATAAATCATTGCAGATAAGAAAACTTGTATGACCCAAACCTAGATCACTAAATTTCAACGCAAATAAAAGCCACGGACTGCACATGGGGAAAATTCACATTATCAAAAATGGTTTTGTATCCTCTTTTTTTAGAAGCTAGGGGATTAAAAAAAACTCAGCATGCTTATCTGAGCTGAGTCACTTCTGGTCCCAAGCATTTGAACAAGGGACACCCTGTCAGTATATGCAGTGTGATGTGCATAGCAGAGTGATTTTCTGCTCCAACAGATTTTGACTATAACTCCCATCACCTCTAAAAAAAAAAAACATTGAACTTAATGGTGATTAGACCTATCATTTGTTATAACAATTACAGGACTCAAGCTAGGGAGCTCTGCCAGGCTATCACTGTATGGCTTTCACCAGTGACTATCTGCGAACCAGGTGTGAGTGCCTCTAACCCAGATCAAACCAGGTAAAATTCACAAATTCAGTATTTCTTCCTTTAAAAGCCCCATTTGTGCATCTTCTATCGGCCACAGAATAGATTTATGCCATTTTTCGAGGTTCTTCTCGCCTTGTTTTATGCCCATCAAAAGTTGTTTACCTGAACAGGAAGTTTTAGAAAACCCCAAACATACCAAGGCTAAAACAGCCCAGGAGGGAAAGGCATTTTCCCCCTATGGCATTGACAGCACTGTGGAACGATATCTGCAAGTTAACCATCTGTCACTGTGCAACACTATTCTATGAAATAAAATTAATAAAATGTTCTTCGATCCTTCTACCAAACAGAAACACAATTTTGCCTACAAATCTGATCAGCTTTTAGATCCTTTCAGTCACTATATCTTCCCACTCCTCAAAAATGATAGAACTACATCATTTTGTATTTTGTGTACATATAAAATCTGTTATACATGCAGATTTGCTGCAGACAGCAAAAATGACAAAATGCTCTGCAGCATCATTGACTCCCTATATAACACTAACCAAATTTGAAATGTATTAATACTTATATTAAGAACTGTGAAGGTATGTGTGCCAATAGCAAATATTTTATATGCAATTATTCAATCTATTCAATTAACCAAGCTTTACATGTATTTACACTCCTACAAATCATCACAGTCGAATAGGTCCAATATTTTCTGAAAATTATAAGTTACTGCAAAGAGCAGTTTCAATAATACAATAATCAATTCATGTGAAATATTAAATGTTATTTGCTCACCACTCTTATCATGATGAATCATAGCAGCTACAGGGATTTCCCCAAAGTTATGCCTACCACAACCAGAGAAGAGCTGAGAGGGTGGGGCTCTGTTTTGATTCTGCTGCACAATGGTTTATGTTAACTGGATTGGGAGGTATTCTCCCTTTCCAACTGCAGTCGGGACACATCCCTATTGTTTGCTCTAGAGAGCTAAGAAACATCAATGTGATTTTTTTTATTTTTTTATTTTTTTGCATTCCCACGGGCTGCAGTGGTGACGGACAGGAGAGAAAGTCACACTGCACCAGCAGAGTTGTGCTAGCAAAATCACTGGATTTCATCCAGAACCCAAATGATTGCTGTGAGTAGATTTTTTAAATGTAGCTGGGACAAAATTAAAAGGAAAAAATAATGACTATTAACACATTTCTGCTCTGATTGTATTTAATCTAAAAACACCACTCCCAAAATATATATTTTCTTCCTGCTTCATCCATCCACCCCCTTCTCCTAATACTACACAAAAGATTGTTGTAAAACCTGATTTACCATCACCACCCCCAGCAATATCAATAATCCACTATAAGGTATGCCCACTAAGAGATTATCACTATGATTATTCACTTTGTTCTCCTCTCCTTTTATTTTAAATGATGCTAAGAATCAAAACTACATTATACTGTAAGAAGTTTCTACCGCTTGTTTTATGACAAAACACTCTTTCAGTTTCATTTCCTTTACATGTGTCACCCACACCCAATTCCCTTTTTGACTGAAATTATTATTATTATTATTATTATTATTATTATTATTATTATTATTATTATTATCTCACAGCAAACAAGGTCACTCTGCTGGCTGTTATATTGGATCACACGTCGGACACTTCCCAAGTGTCTAGGACTGTGTGATGTATCAGCGAATAATGTGTGCACATCCCAGTAGGGTGGCCTTTTGCAGTTGTCAGATGGTAATTTTGTCAGCACCAATTGTGTTTAAGTGCAGGTCAAGGTCTTTAGGCAATGCATCCAGTGTGCCAATCACCACTGGGACTACCTTGTGCCAGAGTCCTTGCAATTCAATCTTTAAATCCTCGTATCGTGTCAGCTTTTCCAGTTGTTTCTCTTCAATCCTGCTGTCGCCTGGGATTGTAACATTGACAATCCATACTTGGTTTTTTAACATGATTGTGAGGACAGGAATATTGTGCTCCAAAACTCTGTCAGTCTGAATTCGGAAGTCACAGAGTAGTTTGACATGTTTTCTGTAACTTTTTCAGACTTGTGATTCCACCAGTTCTTTGTCAAAGGTAGATGGTATTTGTGACACAAGCTCCAATTAATCATCTGAGCAGCAGTGTTATGTCTCCGCCTGTAGTCTGTCAGCAAGATTTTCTTGCAGCAGCTGAGGATGCGATCTATTGTTTCATCTGCTTCCTTGTAGAGTCTACACTTGGGATCTGTCGTCGACTTTTCAATTATTGTTGTTGTTGTTGTTGTTATATTTATTTATACCCAACTTTTTCTCTCCACAAAGGAGACTCAAAATGGCTTAAATTAAAAGCATTTCAATACAATTTTAAATCTGCAAATATACAAACATTAAAACAGAATTAAATATCAATGTTATTTAAAAAAATGTATTCAGCACCCTGACTTGGTCTTTAAAACCTTCTTCTTTAAAATCCTGTTTGAATAAAAAGATTTTAGCCTGCCGCCAAAATAATAGCAGAGAGGGGGCCATTCTGGCATCTCTGAGCAAGGAGTTTCAGAGTTGAGAGTCAGCCACTGGGAAAGAAGACCTGCTCTCTCATTTTCACCAACCAAGCTTGAAATGGAGGTGGGACTGAAGGGCCTCTCCAGAAGATTTCAGGGTCCAGGCAGGCTTTTACAAGGAGATGTGGTCAGTCAAATAGCTTGGACATGAGCTGTATATGACTTTAAAGGTCATAACCAGCACTTTGAATTGTACACAGAAACAAAATGGCAGCCAATGAAGGTGGTACAACAGGGAAGTTGTCTGCTCCCTGTAGCCAGCCCCAGTTAGCAGCCAGGTTGCAGCTCTTTGTACCAGCTGAAGTTTCTGAACACTCTTCAAAGGCAGCCCCACATACAACGTGTTACAGTAATCCAGATGGCAGGTGACCAAGGCAAGTACCACAGTGGCCAGATCAGGCCCCTCAAAGAACGGGCACCGTTGGTGCACAAGTTTTCATTGTGCAAATGTCTTCTTGAGCACCACAGATAACTGGGCCTCCAGGTTCAATCCTGAATCAAGGAATATCCCCAAACTGCGGACCTATGTCTTCAGGGGAAGTGTAGCCCCATTCAGCACAGTTTCGATCCCTATTCCCTGATCTGATCTGCCTTCTGACTTACAAGGAGCTCCTCTGTCTTGTCTGGATTAAGTTTCAATTTGTTTGCCATCATCCAGTCCATTACTGAATACAGACACTGATTTAGGGTTAGGACAGAGTTGATAAAAAAAATCCTCTTGGCAACGGTAGCAAGAATGATTTGGAGACAAACTCTTTGTATTACAGAATTCTGGAAAAAGTGATGTCCAATGTCAACATTCATCTTCATATTAATAAAATTTTCTCTTGAGGAATGGTAAAATAATATCATGATACCAATAAACATATCGGTATTTGTTATTACTGTATTACTTGTTGTTCTGCATAACAAAATAAAGGCAACTGTCTTGTGTTGTATATTGGCAAAGTGAATACATTTTGTAGTGCCACAGATTCTCCCACCATCAATTAGTTTTCACCATGTTCTGAAATACACTCTCAAAAATATCACACAATATGTTTATTTCCCATTCCTTGTAAACCTAAGAGACTAGGGGCCCTTCCAGACAGGTCCTACATCCCAGGATCCGATCCCAGGTCTTCTGTTTGTCACAGATCATCTGGCAGTGCAGACTCATATGAACCAGTCTACATCAGAAAACCTGGGATTAGATCCTGGGATATACGGCCTATCTGGAACAGCCCTAAGTAAACTGGCTGCACAAAGCAATAAGACATTCTGAATAACTGCTTTGTTTTGTTTGAAAGAGTTATTATAATTATGCTTCCACACTTTATTTAGAATATTTTGACATCTCTGCTGGCTTACAGTTAATCTGTCAAAGCAAGCAACAGTTTATTCCCAGTGAGCAATCAAGTGCAAGTGGTCTGGACTACCTGATATTTTCTGCTTCAATAAAATCATCTCAACAGCAGAACCATATTACCCTAAAACACGCCTCAGGTAGCAAGACAAGCATAATTTTACTACAGAAGTACATAATGCAATGCAATATAGTACATATTCTGCTTTGAGATAGGACAGAGCTACTTAGAGACAAGCCCATCATATAAACTGTGTACATCCCAGGATCAGCTGTCTGCTCAAAATCAACAGCCAACAGTATATTTGGTGATTTACCTTCATCTTATTTCTATATTCATCTGCAGCCTTTCACAATATCTGTATACATCATTTGTTTCTGTTATACTAGATATAG